CACTTGAGTTAAAAAAAATTGACTTCAAGGGGCAGCTGGGTTGGCACAGTGGATAGAGCACTGGCCCTGGAGTCAGGAGGACCTGAGTTCAAATCTGGCCTTAGACACATAACACTTATTAGCTGTGTGACCCTGGGCAAGTCACTTAACCCCATTGCCTAACCCCCGCAAAATTTGACTTCACAGGTACAAATGTGGGAGGCATGGTTGTTTTGTTTGAAAAAAAAAGAAGTGGGGGATTAGTGGATTACAGGTTCAACATGGTCAGTGGTGGTGTGACAGTCAAGGGAAATTATTTTATCTCCATCTACATTAAAAGAGGCATAGTGTCTCAGAATAAGGAGGTTAGACTACCTCCAAACAACTTCATTCAGTTAAGGGTAATATGTTTTTAAAAGAATACTGATAATGTGCAGGAGAATGTCCAGAAGAGGGTGACTGGAGGAGTCGGGGCATTGAGACTTTCCCTCATTATTGGAAATTTAGGGGACACTCTTTGGGGGCTCTGCTTTCCCCCCCCCCCAGCTCCTTCCCACCTGTCATGGAGCTCCCTTCTCCCTTCAGGCGGCCCTATCCCCACCCCTTCTGACAAGCAGGAATCGGTGCTTTAGCAGTTAAAAACTATCAGTGTCCTGGGATTTGCTTCCTCACCCTGCGGCTGCATACTATGTGAGCATCCCCTTCCCCACTCCCCACCCTCACCACTGCCTGCCTCTGATGAAACTAAAAATTTCAGGTAAGGCCCCTGTGACCTAGAGGATGAGAAGTCTAGCGTCCGCGTCACATAAGGCTTGGCTGAAGGAAGTAGGGGTGTTTGGCCTGGGGGAGAGAAGACTAAGAGAAACATAGATCATACCTCTCCTCAATTATCTGGATGGCCACTAGCTGAGAAAGGATCATATAGGTTCTGCCAAGGGAGCACATGTAGGCTTCCTGCAAGGAAAATCTTCCAAGCGGAGCTCTGCACGGTGGACCACCTCTGAAGCTGATGGATAATCCTTCTTTCACTGAAGGGCTCCAGGCAAGGGCTGAATGGCCACTTGTCTGAGAATGTCCATAGCTCACATCACCACAGCCCCTGGACAATGTCATTTCCATCTGCACCCCTGTACCTACCACTAATCCTGCTGTCCTCATCCCTATTCCTAACAGCATCTTCATGTCTCTCATTATGAACATCACTACCACTGCCATCCTCAGCATTACTCCTTATTCACATACTGCCATATTCACACACCCCCCCCAACCTCAGCATCAGCCCAGTTTCTATTCCACCAACCTCAGCAGCAGTATCACCACCATTAATTATCCCCTTCCCTACCAACGCCTTCCAACCTCTCCTTGGGTCCTAAGATATTCACTGGGGAATTGGGGTGTCAGGAAGCAAATGGCTAAACTTGTGAAACTCTGCCCCAGGATGGGAATGAACTGGGACTGTGATTTTATTGGAATGTAAGTCAGTACCTTCCCTGCAACTTAGAGACCTGGCAGTAAGCTATCGAGAGCACCGAGATTAAGTGGCTTGCACAGGGTCCCACAGGCAGGATGTATCAGAGATGCGATTTGAACCCAGGTCTTGCTGGCTCTGAGAACACCCCTTTATCTGCTGTCTCACTGGTCTATTGCCAAACATGAAGCCATTTTTTCAGCCCTTTACTAATTGAAGGATGCTTATACTCTTTCCTTCCAAGCCCTCCCCTCTTCTGAACTTGCCTTATTGCTCAAGGTCCCAGGCCCCCAGGCTCTTGATCTAGGGGTCATCCTTGACTCCTCATTCTCTCTCACTCCCCACCCCCAACTGTGTCCATATGCAGTCACTTGTTAGGTCCTGTCATTTCTACCTTCACAAGATCTCTCCAATGCTCCCCCTTCTCTCCTTGAACACTGGTCCAGACTCTCATCAACCCATGCCTGGATTATGACAATAGCTGAATGCTTAGTCTCCCTGCCCAAGTGTCTCCCCATTCCAGTCCCATTCTCTACTCAGCTATCAAAGTGATCCTTGTTTTTCTTTAATGGAATATTTTATTTTCCCCAATTACTTGTAAAAACAATTTTTAACATTCATTTTTTAAAACGTTAAGTGCCAAATTCTCTTCCTCCCTCCCCTCCCCCACATTTAAAAGGCAAGCAGTTTACTCAAGTTATACATGTGCAGTCATACAAAACATATTTCCATGTTGGTAAAGTTGTGAAAGAAAACACATACAAGAAAAAAACAAGAAAAATAAACAAAGTAAAGAAAAAGTCTGCTTTGATCCCCATTCAGACTCCATCAGTTCTTTCTCTGGAGGAGGATAGCATTTTTCATCATAAGTCTTTGAGAACTGTCTTGGCTCATTGTATTGCTGAGAATAGGTAAGCCATTCACGGGGTTGATCATCATATACTATTGCTGTTACTGTGTACAGTGTTCTCCTGGCTCTGCTCATTCCACTCCAAATGATCTTTGCAAAGTACAAATCTGATTATGTTCACTTCCTCACTTAATAAACTCCTATGGCTCCCAATCACCTCTAGGATCAATTATAAAACTTTCTGGTTGTTTTTAAAGCCCTTTTACTTTAGGGCAGGGAGGTGGCTCGGTGGATAGAGCGCTGGGCTTGCCGTCGGGAAGACTCATCTTCCTGAGTTCAATTCTGGCCTCAGACACTAGCTGAGTGACCCTGGGCAATTCGTTTAACCTTGTTGGCCTCAGTTTCCTCATCTGTAAAATGAGTCAGAGAAGGAAATGGCAAACCACTCTGGTATCTTTGTCAAGAAAACCCCAAATGGGGTCATAAAGAATCAAACAGGACTAAACAGCAACACCCTGGCCCCCTCCTACCTTTGCAAGCTTCTCATACTTTACTTCCCTCCACATTCTCTACTATCCAGTGACATTGGCCTGTTGGCTTGTTCTTCCCACACTGCACTCCATCGCCTGACTCTGTGCCTTTTCCATGGCTGCCCCCATACCTGGAGTGCTCTCCCTCCTCTCCTCCTGGCTTCCTCTAGCATTCAGCTCAAATCCTATTTTTGCAGGAGACCTTTCCCATCCCCTCCCATACTAGTCTCTTCCCTTTTGCGTATTGTAATTTTGGGCCTAGTCTCCCCCATTAGAATGGCAGCTCCTTGAGAACAGGGGCTGCTTCTTGCTTTTCTTTGGATCCCCATCACTTCCCATGGTGCCTGGTATGTAGTATGTGATTAATACACACTTGTTGACTGATTGACTCATTTTGTTGCTGCAAAGACTCTCTTGGCAAATATTGGACTTCTGTTTCTGTCTGACTGAAAAGACAGAGGTATATGCACAGTAATGGGTTTGCTGGGTATGAACATACTTCTGAACCACAATCCAGAACAACTGCGTAACTTTCTAGCTCCGCCAACAATGCCCATAGTTCCACCACATTGACTGTTTCCATCTTTGGGAATTGACTGTTTTAAGGCTGTTTTAATCTTTTCTAGTCTGTATGATGTAAAGTAAAATCTCGCCTGGTTAATTTTTTAAATGTTTATTAATATCTTTTGTTTTTTCACCACCTTCATTCTAAATATAGCCCTCTCTGCCCTCCTACCCATCAAGCTCTCTGTTGTAGCAAAATTAAAAAAAAAAAAGGAAAGGAAAAAACCATTTTGGCAAAACCAACCAACATATCATCCTGGATCTGAGTATGATGGTCCACAGCCATAGTCTCACTTCTTCAAGGACAGGAGAGAGGTGCATTTTTTCATCTCTTCTCTGGGGCCAACCTTGTACACAGCTTTCAGTTTCTTTTTGTTCTTGTTGTTTTTCTCATTCACATGGTTGAAGTCATTGTGTACATTGTTTCCCTGGCTCAGTTTACTTCAATTTGCATCAGCTCATATAAATCTTCCCATGCATCTCTGTAGCCAGCATAGCCATTATTTCTTTTAGCATAGTAATAGACGAAAGCATCACAATTATATTTAGTAAAATTTTTTTCAAAAAAAGTTTGAGCTCCTTTTCCCCTAGAGTATTGGGCATGCAGGCATGGGAGAATATTCTGACTTTGCAACTGCTGTTGGCTTCCTCTGGAGAATGCTGAGGAATGACATATGAGTTTCAATATATCCAGTGGATGTCTGGTGAAATACCAACGTGGCTGGCTCAGGGTTGTTGTGTTTTTTTAAAAATTTGTTTTATTACTTTTCGTCCCTCCCTCACCCCTGCTCCCGTACTTGACTGAAAAAAAAAATCTTTGCAAACAGCGGCCTTGCATTTTTCTTCCAGACACAGAAGAGACAGAGTGAAAGAGACAAAGAGACTGAGAGACAGATAGAGGCAGTAACATACAGGCTGAGACACCTCCTGAGACAAAAGGAAAGGGACAGTCCATACAGGCACTGATGGACGGTGAAGACACTATGAGACACAGGGAGAGACTCAAAGAGAGAAAAAGAAAGAAAATGACACAGAGGGAGAGAGACAGAGGGTATGACAGAGAACACTAAAAGAGAAAGGGGAGAGGGAGGAGGAAGAGAGACATAAAAAGAGACAAAAAAGATTCTGAAAGACCAGAGAGATAAGCAGGGGAAGACACTACCTTTCTCAGTCTCATTTTCCTCATCTGTAAATAGGGAGAGTGCTACTACATGCCAATTGTGTGACCTTGGCCAACAAATCCCTTTGCATCTCTGAGCGTCTGTTTCCCCATTTATAAAATGAAGTGGTTGGATTAGAAGATGGTCTCTAACAGCCTTTCTAGCTCTAAATCCTATAGTTTAGAAGACAGGCTGTCACAGACACAGAGAGAGACATACCCAACCAGACCCAAGGCTGAGACAAAAGCCGGGGTGCAGAGGCAGGTGCGGCGGCGGTGGCCGGCGGCGGTGGTGGCTGCCCACCTCTGCCTCAGTGGCGGCAGTCCACCGCCTCCCCGCCTCCTGGCCCTCAGCCTTTGGTCGCCTCAGTCCCCCCCCCCCCGCTCCCTCCTCCCCCCTTTTACCTCCCCCCTCCCCTTCAGGTGGCTCCAGCTCCGCCCTGAGGCCGCCCAGAGAGAGCGCTCCACTTTGGATCGGGAGGCGGGGGAGGATTGCAAAGTTTCAACTAAAGTTTTTTTTGTCACTTTCTCGGCTCTGCTTTTCCAGTTGCCGCCGCCTTCTCCCGCTCCTCCCTTCTCTCCTGATCGGGTCCCTGCGGGTTTTCCAGCCGCACTCTCTCCACTCCTTGACCCCCGTTCCCCTCTCTCCCCAACCCCGAATCCTGACCTTCCCACCCCCTCAACCTCCAGGAGCCTCTCCCTAGCCCAGAGCCTGTCCCTGACCCCCCGCTGTCCCTCGGCACCCTCAACCTCAGAAGCCTCTCTCCAACCCGGACCTCCGCTCCCGACACCCCTCCCCCCACCAGCAGCTCCACTGTCCCCTGACTCCCTTCTCGTCCTCCCCTACTCAGACCCCAGACCCCACCCAGAATTCTATCGGTAGCTCTACACCTTCGGTTCCACTGACCCTTGGCACCCTAAGGCATCCCCACCCCCTAAACTCTCCCCCCAGCCCAGAGCCTGCCCCTACTGCTCCACTTTCCCTCTGCTCTCCTGGCTCAGACCCTTAAGCCACCCCCTATCTTGACCCCAGCCTTAGCCCAATACGCTGGCCTCAGCCCAGGCCCTATCCTTGCACCCTTGACCTTCCAGACCTAACCCCTGCTCCAGGGTCCTTGTTCCATTCTGTGCCTTCTCTTCCTTCCTCCTTTCCTTCCCCAGCCTCTCACCCCCAATTCTGCTTTTCAGGCCTGTGGTCCGCCCCCACTTCGGCCATGCCCTGGGCATCCAGCGGACCCGCCCTGTCCGTCTTGGTGCTACTGGGAATCCTGGCGGCCGTCATGTCGCTCCTGTCATCGCAGCTCCTCTTCCAGCTCCAGGCGGGCCGCGCCGAGCTCTGGGGCCGGTCCCTGGCCATGGAGGGGGCGGCCGAGGGGGCCTCCGGGGTCCTGCTGCCCTTGGCTTCGGCGCTGAGCGCCCTCTGCCTGGTGCTTAACTTCTGTGCGCTCTTCTTTTGCCTCCTGCTGTGCCATCTCAGCGCCGAGCTGGCACGGACCAGCCCAGACAGGTAAGGGACCCAGGTGTCCTCAGCCAACTGGGCTTTGAGGGTCCTGGCTGGCCTCCAGCTTCCTGCATCCTCAAGGCCAGAGCACCCCCTCAGAACATGGGATAGCCGAACAGGAACGGACCTAATTAGAACAGAGAATGTCCGAGCTGGGAGGGCCCTTAGAACACCGAAGGTCAGCTAGGAGGAACTTTAGGACCTTATCAGTGAATTAGTCCAACCCCCTCATTTTACCGAAAAGGAAAGTAAAGCTCCAGGGGCTTAAGTGATTTGCCCAAAATCATACAAGTTCACAGCAAGGCCAGGGCTTGCACCTCAGCCTAGGGACTTAATCTAGGACTCTACCCTGCTTCTCACTACCTCAAAGGCCAATCAGCTTCCACAGCTTGAACGGCGGGATGTGCAGTTTAGTGGAAAAAGTGCTGACTCTGGAGTCAGAAGACCTGGTTTCAGACCTCACCCCTGACTGGCCTGCCTCTTCGACTTTGGCTAAGTCACATAACTTCCCTGGGCTTCAGTTTTCCCATATGTAAAACGAGGGGTGGGGAGAGTCAGACTCTAAGGTCTCTTCCAGCTCTAAATCTTTGGTCCTCAGAAGAGCAGCACTTCAGCATAATAACACTTCTCCCCAGTTATCTAACCCAAATCAGTCTTCATCCAGGTCTTTAGTCACCAGAAAGCCCAGGCATGAGGGTTGGGGGGTGGGGAGGAGGGGAGGTGGAGGAGGGTATGAGGAGGTGATGGGGAACAAAAATAAAGTTGGGAACTTTTGATTTAGAGCAATAGAGTCTCAGACTCTTCAGTCTCTGGACCCCATTATACTCAAAAATTACTAAGAATCTTCCAAAAATCATTTGTTAACGTGAGGTTACATCGATTGCTATTTACGATATTAAAAATTAAAACCAATCAAATTTTAAAATATTTACTCATCAATTCATTTAAAATAATAATAAACCCATTATATGTTAACATAAATAATATTTTTAGGATAAATAACCATATTTTTCCAAAGCAAAAAATGAGAAAAGTAGCATTGTTTTACATATTTTCTCAAATCTCTTTAATATCTGGCTTAAAAGAAGCCATCTGGATTCTTTTATCTGCTTCCATATTGGATCTGTCGTCATGTGTTGTTTTGGTTGAAGTTTATGAAGAAAACCTGGCCTCACACAGATATGTAATTGGAAAAGGGAGGAGTATTTTAATAGGCAAATAATGTCAGTATTATTATGAAAATAATTTTAACCTTGAGGATTCTGAAGTGTCTTAGGGATTCCCAGGGGTCCCTGGACCACACTTTGAGAACCGATGATGTAGAACAGCCCCTTCATTTTGCTGATGAGGAAAATAAAGTCCCACAGAGGTTTAGTGACATGTTCAAGATGCTAGGATCCCAGATCCAGAGCTGGGAGAGACCTCAGAGTCCATGTAGCCTAATCTCTCTCATTTTTACATATGAGCAAACCAAGGTTCGGGGAGATTAAATGATTCATCACTTCTTACTGGGTAACCAGTGTTACACAGGTAAGAAACATCAGAAGTGGAATTTGAGTCCAGGTCCTTTGCCTTGAGCCATTGTTCTTTTCACTGTGGCACATTGTAAAGTTGTAGAGTTGGGGATTAATAAAATCACAGGGTCCAAAAGGGACAGGTGATAATGCCACTGACTTCTGCCCTTGCCAGACCTCAGCTATGTTCGGTACTGGGCACCAAGTTATGGGAGAGACTTACAAGTGAGAGTGTGTGATTGCTGTGGGGAGAGGACTGGAGATCACGCCATTGCTTGAAGGAACTAAGAATGCGGGGGGGGGGGGAGGATGTGAATGTGGAAGTAGGAAGAGGTTATTTGGAAGACAAGGAAGACTTGTACTTCTTGGAGTTATAGAATCACAGAATGTTAGAGGTAAAAGGTACCTCAAGGAATCATCTAGTCCACGCCCTGTCCTAGAATAGAATAGTAAAAGAATGGTTAGTGAACATCTAGAGAAGGAAGTAAGTGGCTTAGTGGATAGTGCTGGGCCTGGATTCAGGTCTTGGAGACCTGAGCCAACAGGCCTGAAGCAGTCAGGAGGATTTACTGTAAGTGGGGAAGGAGGCACCTCAAAAATCTAGCCTCAGACACTTACTATCTGAGTAACCCTGGGCAAGTCACTTAAACCTGCTTGCCTCAGTTTCCTCATCTGTAAAATGAGTGGGAAAAGGAAATGGCAAACCATCCCAGTATCTTTGCCAAGAAAACCCCAAATGGAATCACAGAGTCAGACACAACTGAAAACAACCCAACAAGAAAAAGAAGCAGTCATCATAGAGAGCCTACATGACTTCATCAAGCACAGGTCATAGCAGATTATCTCATTTCTTTTTTTCTGCCAGGGTTACCAGACTTAGAAAATGTGCCAGATATTTTATTGTTGTTGTTCCGTCATAACCCCATTTGGGGTTTTCTTGGCAAAGATACTGGAGTGGTTTGCTACTTCCTTCTCCAGCTGCTCTAGGTATAGTTTGCCTTAATTTCAGAAAAGCATTTGACCATTCGTTACTAGTGCTGTCCTTCTGGACGAGATGGTGTGATGTTGGCTAAAATGGAGCAAATGAATTAACACATAAAGCTCTTTGCAAACCTTTAAGCACTATGTAAATGCTAGCTATTATTATTATCATTCTTAAATTATAGAGAGTTAAGTGTATTTGGAGCTGGTTGAATGACCAGACCCCAAACTAGTCATTAATGAGTTGATGTCAGCTTGGAAGGTCTCCAGTGGAGTACTCCAAGGATTTCTCATTGGTCCTGTGATGCTGACCATTTTTATCAATAACTTGGATGAAGTAAAAAATGGAATGCTTATCACATTTTTCAGATGACACATAGCTGGGAGAAAGAACTAATGTGTTGGATTGAGTCAGGATCCAGAAGGATCTTGACAGTAGATTATTGGGCCAAATTTAATAAGAGAAAATGTAATCTTAAAGTCTTAAGCTTATTGTTAAAAAAAATCACCTTCATTCCAAATATGGGATAGGGGAAATGTGGCTAGACAGCAGTTCATCTGAAAAAGATCTGGGACTTTTAGTGGATTGTAAGCTCAGTGAGTCAACAGTGCTATGTTGAGACCAGTTTCTGGAATATTGTGTTCCATTCTTTGTACCATATTTTAGGAAGGACATTGATAAGGCGGAGTTCTAGAGTAGGATGATTAAGATAGTGAAGGGCCAGCTAAATATTTCATAAGATGATTGGCCATAAGATAAAGGAACTGGAATGTTTCATCTAAAGAAAAGATATAGTAGTTCTCTTCAAGTTTTTGGAGACAGATTAATCTTGTTCTGCTTTGCCCCAGAGGGCAAAGGACCAAAAAGTGGACATTAAAGAGAGGATTTAGGTTCAATATAAGGAAATACTTCCCAATAATTTAAGTTGCCCAAAAAGAGAATGGGAGATAACGGTTACCCTCTTCTTAGAGGTCTTCAAGCAAAGGATAGCTGAACACTTGTTGAGGGGACTGTCAAGAAGATTCTTGTTCAGTTATGGGTCTGCTAGGTAGCCCTTGAAGGCCCTTCCAAGTCTAGGATTCTATAATTTTACAGATAGGCACAGAGAGAGGAAGTGACTTGTAGAAGGTCACACAGCTTGTAGTAAGCGGCAGGGCCTGGACTTTGGCTCATCTGGCTTTAATTTCTAGCATTCTTCCCATCCCATTTTGCTGGCTACTCCAGAGGATTCAACAGCCATGGATGGAAGCTGTAGAAAGGACAGTTTTCATGTTTGCTGCTCCCTGAAAACTGAATGTGTTACCCCTTGAGGTAGTGAGTTCTCATCACTAAGAGTATTCAAGCTGATGCTGGATGATTATTTGAGGTGGATGGCATAAAGGGTACTTCTGTCCAGGTAAAGGGAGGGCTACATGCCATCTAAGGCTCCTCTCAGCTCTGAGATTCTCTGTGTCTTCATTCTGCCACTATGATCTTGGGTCGGTCAGTCAGTCAACAAGCAATTTATTAAACACCTGCTATGTGCCAGGCCCCATGCTGAACACTGGGAATGCAAAGAGAGGCAAAAACAGGGTCCCTGTCTAGTGGAAGTGACAAACACAAACATGTTGCATACATAAAATCTAAGCAGGAAAAGCAGGAGGTAGCCTCTGTGGGAAGACACTTTGGACAAGTCGTCTCAACAATCTGAGTCAATTCAACAAATATTAATTAAGGAGATAGTGGATAGAGATCTGGCCTTGGAGCCAGGAAGGCCCGAATTCAAGTCTTCGCTCTGATGCATACTTTCAGTGTCTTCTCAGGCATGTCATTTAACCCTCAGGGCTCTGGGGAACCTCCCTCGAGGTGGGCTCTAGGCTACATATGACCTTCTAGGTCCTTGGGTGCAGCCTTTTGCCTGAGTCCAAGTTTTACAGAACAAATCCTTTTATTTATCCTACCTGCATTGGTAGGAGGGAGTTTCCTCCTCTGAAAGTTCCGTATGCTATTGAAATTGCGTGTGCATAAAGCACGGGGTACCTTGATTCTCTGGGCCTCAATTTCCACATCTGTAAAATGAGGCTGCCTCTAAGATCTCTTGAGCTCTGACAGTCCACCTTCTTTGTTCTAAGGGCCTGTAATACATACCACAGCTCACTTTACCGGGTGATCTGTGATATGCATCTCTCTGTTTCTTCTTTCTCCTCCTTGTCTATGGAGATCAGCTCAGAAAGGAAGGAGAGGGGAGTAGGAAGGGCACAGAAGGAAGCAAAGAAGATCTTCTGGTCCAAAAGACCCCAGATTCTTGGTGTCCCATCTTTCTGCTGAATCCTCCTCCTTCCACTCTGGAATCAATCCTATTCAATCCATTGGCCATCTTTCTAACACCCTCATGGTGTAGCAGATAGAGTGGTAGGTTTGTTGCCTGGAAAGCTTGGGTTCAAATCTCTAAACTTAGGGCAAGCTTTGGGGGTAGAGGGCTTTTGGACTCGAAAAAATGGACAGAATATCTGAGCAGGAAGCTATGATAG